ATTATTATTATTATTATTATTATTATTCATTCCTTCCTTCCTTCCTTCCTTCCTTCCTTCCTTCCTTCCTTCCTTCCTTCTTTTCTTCTTCACTCATCCATTCAATACAGAGGTGGGGAACTACAGCCCCTTTATGACTTCTGAACTTCAACCCACCCACCCGAATTCTTGAGCCAGCCATGAATTCTGGGAAGTGAAGTCCATGGGGCCAGAGTTCCCCACCCCCACCCCCCACCCCTGATTTAATGCAACGGCCACCTCACTCTGCAAAGCGACTCTGAATTTAAAAACGAACTGCCAGCTCCACAAGGGTGGAAGGGCTTGCTAGCCATTCATGGTCACCTGGCTGCCTCACCTGGTTGCCCGAAAGGGGAGACGTAAAAAGGTGGCTGTGCAGGTTGCGGCCTGTGTTGATGTGGGTCAAGCGGATTGTCTGCCCACATTGTACTGGGATGCCTCTTTCGCAAACGCTGGACGACTTGCCCCGGATTCGCCAGTAACTGTTGCCGTCGTCCACACTTGTGACTCCGGTCACCGACTGCTGTCCACTGCCTGGTCGAACAGACAAGCACAGGTAACAGGTGACTTCGACCCTGCCAGCTCAATTCCACCTCCATCCTGATTGTTTACCCTGCAAAACACTTCAATGACAGCAATTAATACGAGGGCATTTCGGAAATAAACCTCCATTTGGTTATCAATGACAGACACTTGCAAATACAGAACTTTTATTATACACATTAGAATAGAATAGAACAGAATAAAGCAAAATAGAATAGAATTACAAAATAGAATTAGAATTAAAATTAGAAATAGAATAGGAAATATAGAATAGAATAGAACATAGAATAGAACATAGAATAGAATAGAATAGACTATAGAAATAGAATATAGAAATAGAATATAGAAATAGAATATAGAATAGAATAGAGCTGGAAGGGACCTTGGAGGTCTTCTAGTCCAGCCCCCTGCTCAAGCAGGGGAACCTATACCATCTCAGACAAGTGACTGTCTAGCCCCTTCTTGAAAACCTCCAGTGATGGAGCACCCACGATTTCTGGTGGCAAGCTGTTGCACTGGTTAATTGTCCTCCCTGTCAGGAAGTTTCTCCTTAATTCCAGGTTGCTTCTCTCTTTGTTCAACATTACATGACTTTTCAACATAATCACCAGTGAAATGGAGGCCCTTGTCATATCTTACAAGGCTTGAAATTCCTTAGTCGCAGTTGTTTGGCGCCAAATCTGGGCTATAAGGGTGTGTGTGTGATCAAAAACATCCCAACAGAACTGCTTCCAAAGTTCTTGGGTGCGTCCAGCAGTGTGCGGGCGAGCCTTATGGTGAACCAACCCCACACCGGAAGTCAGCAGGCCCCGACGCTTGTTATGGATGGTTCGTCAGAGTTTTTGTAAGGTTTCACAGTAGATGTCTGAACTGATGGTCAAATCAGGCTCCGTGAACTTCACTAGCAGTTACTCCTTTGGCATCTTCACATTTGGCGGGATTTTCTACTGCACCATTTTCGGTGTGGTGTTGGTTCACAATAATGCTCTCCCGCTCGCCACTAGACGTACCCAAGAATCTTTGAAGCGGGGGGGGAGCCCTCAAATCCCCCCTCCTGCTGCCCTGAGTTGCTGATGGCCGTTTGTGCTGTGAGGGGGACGCTGGGACCAGGCTGGGAAAGGGCACCATCAGGCGATCCCAAGGAAGGAAGGAAGCAGGGTTGTTAAATGAATCTGGCTTCTCCATTGACTTTGCTGGTCAGAAGAACAGAAAAGGGGTCACCTGGCCCCGCGACACTGAGACCGTCATAAATGTGAGTCAGTTGCCAAGAGTCTCAATTTTGATCACGTGACCCTGGGGATTCTGCAGCGGTTGTTAAGTGTGGGAAATGGCCATAAGTCCCTTTTTCCAGTGCCGTTGTAACTCTGAGCGGTCACTAAACGAACCGCTGTAAGTCAAGGGCTGCCTGTACATGACTCTTATCCCTGGGGCCAGCAACTGATTGTGGGGTTGTGAAGCAGTCGGGGAGGGCGAGAAGCCCCCCCCCAATAAGGGAGTCTGGGCCCCGGCTGGAGAGAAGGTCGGGCATCGTGGTGGTGTGAGCTGCTTGTGGTAAGGACAGGAGTGCCCCTGAGCATGTGCAGACCGCACCCAGCCCCTCGAAGTAAGTGACGACTGGTCCTTGCACTTACGACCGTCGTAGTGCCCTCGCAGTCAACATTCAGGCCCTTGTAAACCGGTCGCAACCACTTGAGGTCTTGCCGGGCTGGCTTCCAACAGGGGAAGCAGGGTTCACTTAACGACCCCACGATTCACTTAACGACCATGGTGAGCCTCACCTGACCGCCGCCTTGCTTAGCCGCCGTAATTCAGATCCTAATTGTGGTCGTAAAATGAGGACCACGTGACTCTTCACGGGGCCCTGAAGCAGACGGGGGGGTCCCCCCAAATAAGGGGTCTGGGGTCCGGAGAGAGGGGCGGTCCTCCGGGGGGGGCTTCCCACAAGCCGCTTCCGGTAGGGACGGGAGCGCCCCTGAGCATGCGCAGAGCGCGCGCCGCCCCTCTCACCCCCGCCGCTCCCCCTCCCCCCCACCCCCGCTAACCGACGAACCCGGGTCTTACCGGACCCGTATCGGACGTCGTGCGAATGCAGGCGGACCCCGTGACGCGGGTTGAGCAGCTTCACCACCGAGCCGCAGGTCACCGTCCCGGCCTCGCCCGCCTCGCCCGCCTCGCCCGGGCCCAGAACCAGCAGCACCAGCGCCGCCGCCGCCGCCGCCGCCCGCGTCATCCTCCGCCGCCGGTCGGCTCTTTCCTGTCAAAGAAGCGATAGAGGCGGCGGCGCGCAGAGCGGCCCAGGAACTTCCGGCAAAACGGTTTTTTTTTTCACCCTCCCCCCCTCGCCCTCCTCTGACCACAGAGAGGGAGCTCTGCGCAGAGCAGAGCGCCCCGCGTGTTGCCGCGGAAGTTGGCGCCCCGCCCCGGAAGTCCCCCCGCGGCGCGTCCTCTCGTCGCCCCGCCCCGCCCCCTGCGTCGTCGTCGTCCGTCGTCGTCGCCGCCGCGGCTGAGGGAGCGCCGAGGCCTCCATTTTCCCCGACTGAGGTGAGGCGGGGGACGGGGGGGCGGCGGCGGGGGGGCTCCGGATGGAGGGTCCCGGAGCGCGCCCCCCCCTGGATGGAGGCGGGGAGGCCCCGTGGCCCAGCCGGGCAGCCCTCGGAGGCCGGGAGGGCGAGGATTGCGTAACTCCCCCCCCTCCGTGAGCCCTTCCCCGCGGGAGGGGGGGTCGGCTGGGCCTCGCACCGCCCCCCCGGGAGGGCCCCCTCCTTCTGGGGAGAGGGAGGGCGACGATGGGGGGGCTGGCCTGGAGGGGGGCGGGCGACCCCTCCCTCTTCAGGAACAAGGGAGGGGGGCGTTTGTTTTCCTCGATCNGGGGGAGGGGTGGGCCAGACCTCCAGGCGGAGCCCCCCCCCTTCCCCCGCCCCGCCCAAGCTGGCACAATAAGCAGCCTAAGGCCAGAGATGGGGGGGGGAGGGGCACAGGAGTTGAAAAAAACAACAACAGATAAATAAAAATAAAGGTGGTCCTCGACTTAAGACCGCAAGGGTGCCCCACTTTTCTGTGGTTAAGTGAGACGCTTGCCAAGTGGGTTTTGCCCCGTTTTGCATCCTCTCTTGCCACCGTCGTTAAGTGAATCGCTGCAGCTGTTCAGTTAGTGGCAGGGCTGTTCAGTGAATCCGGCTTCTTCCCCCCCCCCGACTTCGCTTGCCAGAAGGTCACAAAAGGAGGAATCACGTGACTCTGCGAGCGTCGCAAAATACGAGGAGTCGGTTGCCAAGCGTCCCTAATTTCCATCGCAGGACCAGGGGGATGCCGCAACGGTCACAAGTGTGAGAAACGGGTCATAACTCACCGTTCTTCCAGTGCCGTTGTAACTTCAGTCGCTGAACGAATGGTCGTAAGCCGAGGACTAGCTGCTGATAAAGGAGAGGGAATAAGAGGATGCTGTTTGTGGCTGAGATTTCCTGTTGCATTTCTAGTGTTTTCTTTCAGCTGCTCAGCCAGGTTTTCAAAATGGCCCCCCCGCCCTCCAGAGGTGGGGAAGGCAGAGAAGTGGAGGATTTGGGGTGCTGTGTGTGTGTGTGTGTGTGTGTGTGTGTGTGTATGTGGTGGCTGATGGGCCACATGTACTGAAGCTGAGCGGCAGTCAGAAATACCACAGGGCTCTTCTTGGGTGTGAAGAACCCCCACTGGGACAGTTGTGTTACAGGCAGAACAGCTCGTTTAGTGACTGAAGTTACAACAGCACTGAAAAAAAGCGAATTATGATCATTTTTCACACTTAGGACCGTTGCGGCATCCCCATGGCCGTAAGATAAAAATCCAGACTCCTGGCAACTGACTCCTATTTATGACGGTCGCGGAGTCCCAGGATCGTGTGATCCCTTGGGTGGCTTTTTGATCAGCCACGTCAGATTCAGTGAACAACCCTGTTACTAACTCGACCACTGCAGGGGTTCACTTACCAACTGGCGCAAGAAAAGTCATAAAATGGGGCAAAAACTGGCTGGACAGCTCTCTTGTTCAGCCACGGAAACCTGCAGCTCCGTTGTGGTCGTAAGGCGAGGACGGCCTGTACCCTAGCATCCTGCAACGCTGCAGAATAAATGCAAGAGTGTGATGTGCAATTAGTTCACAGGGTGAAATAAGTTGGGGGTTTGTAGTCACCGTGAGTTTGTGGGGAGGGGGGGCACAGAGGGAGGCTCAGCCAATTTCACTGTATACATGTTATACTTTGATAATAAAGGGTTTATTATTATTAAGGGTGGCAGGCAAAGGGAAAGAGGGAAAGAAACCTGGAAGGCCTCCCTCCCACCCATCCTGACCCCCCCCCTTTTTTTGGATTCCTGAGCTTCTCATACTTTGGTGTATCCTGCAAAGGTTTTGATTGGCGGGTCTGCGTGAGCTGGGCACGGATCCTTGCCCAGGTGGGATTGAGGAACATGCAGCTGGCTTGCTTTGACTCGGACATCGCCTTGAGCATCGGTGTCCAACTTTGGTGACTTTTAAGTTCAACTCCCATAATTCCCCATGGTGGGAACTCCACAATGTCATGGTTCTGACAGATGAACCTCTTCAAAGAACTTCGAGGCATTGTTTACCTTATTCGAGTAGCATAACATCGGCATTGCATAATCGAAGCCAAAAACTGAATTCCTCTCCCCTGAGCACATAGTATCAAAGCACAATTCCCTCCTCCAATTAATGGTCATAAATCACATTCCCCAATTAGCTTGAAGCCCCGGCTTCCTCTCCAGTTCTCCAGCCCCCCCAATTCCTTATCAGCTCTGGGCTCAATCACCTTGATTCTCACTCTGGGTCCAGTGTTGTTGTGTCT